TACTTTCTTCTCTTCCTTTGTGTGCTACATGGAGTGTGGCGACTTGAACTGCCGCACATATGTGCAAAGTTCTATGTCGAAAACCGACCGACCTAATAAACAAACTAATATGAGATTCCATGATCACCTTTGAAATCAATTAAATCTGTGCCAATCAACACTTGAAAACTGATTGGAGTTATTAGAAGAAAGAGTTTCTCCTAAAAATGTATAATTTATTTGCACTATACATTTTTTGAACAGTCTGATCACACATTTATTTATCAAATCAATTTATATGAGAAATGAAAGGCCAATTAAAATAGTCTCTCATGATGATTCTGATTTATATTTTATCCTATAAGAGTTTAGTAATTGCCATCCTTCAATTAAATTCACAATGGAATTAGAAAATGAATCAAAGATCCCGCTTCTGCATGCAAAATTGACAAGAAGAGATGGTGGAACTCTGAAAACATTTATCCTTAGAAAACCATCATGGAATGGCAGGCTGACAAACTTCCATAGTTGGATACTTGTGAGTCGGAAAAGAACTCTCAACATCTCATTGGCCCACCGTTTCAGAAGAATTTGTGGCATTGACTGTTTAGTAGGAGAGACCTTATTTCTCAAAAATATCCTAGTACAAAATGGATACCCGGCACATTTCGTGGAGAAGAACATGAAACCAATGCTTAAAAGAGAAGATTGCACTTCAGTACCAAAAACCAAACACCGTATGAGGATCTTGAACTTCAGGAAAGACGTAATTTGTATTGAAACCTTCAAACTTTGTTATTATTATTATGTTGAAGGATAGTAATCAACACTACTGCTGGCAATATATATTCAGATAAGAATTACTAAGGTAGCTGTGACAATAAATTGTTTTTTTATTCAATTTTAGATTTTCCCGTCGATTGATTGGACTGAAGTGCTCGGTCTCAGGTTGACAAGTCAGCTGCTTGTGCAGATGCTTCGACGATGTCTGAGCATGTAATCAGAATTTCATTGATGGATGGTGGCTAGTAGTGGAATGCATGATGCGCATTTCTTCCCATTTAGGACTCGTCTGCCAGCCGGATGTACCTGCATTCCGTAGCGAGTGGTGATGTTTTCTCATTGAGGCTGGAACCTACTGTCCATAGGTGGCTCTCGTAGCCCAAGTGGTCTAGTGGATAACGCTTTGGCGTTTGAAACTATGGGCACTGGTTTCGAGCCTGCGGGATACAAATAAATCTAGCTGACGAGTCCCAAATAGAACGAAATGCGCATGCTGGATTCCAGTGCTAGTCACCATCCACCAACTAACTTTTAATAAATTGTTTTTGTATACATAGGAGGAAGAGAGGGCTTAATTTTGCGGATAGCTATCACCTCAGCGTATTCCAATATACACCCTTGATAGTTTTTATTGACAATTATGAAAGTTGTCTTGAAATCAGTCTTATGATTTATATCAGTTATGTGTTGCGCTGCAGACGCGGCTGATAGTTTGCTACTTGTTCATTGCCGAATTGATGGAGAGTGGGATTACAGTTAAGTTGAATTTTTTACCCAACTTAGTGTGTGCTGAAATTCAGTTGAAGTCTAAAAGACGCTTGTGTAACTCAAACGACTGTATTGCATACGTAATAGCTACACTGTATTTATATGGACAAGCAATATTAAATACAAAATTAAAAGAGTATTCAATAAATGCAACATCAGAGTTTTCTTCAAAACATGAGGCACACTGATGTAAAGCAATCTTGTTCATGTGAAAGATTCAATTCCAAATGATTCACAGTCTAAATATGTCTATAAAATAAAATGCTTGAAATATGAGTTGGCCGAAATTCGTCAGAGATCAAGGTAATAGGAAAACGAACACCAGGCAGTCTCTATTCTGCCACTGAGAAATCTAACGGACCAAGAAAAGCTTGAAAATTCATAAGCCATTGGTCTACATCCTAAGAATTATAGTACAATGTTGATTTTGATAATATTCAAACCATACATATCAAGGCAGAAGCGATTCACATTAAAATGATATCCAAATTATCTGAATAGAAATGACAGATTAAGATAGAATTCGTTCTGGTTCAAACCCACTGAATCTAAATCCGGTTTGTGTAACAACTAAAACCGATGTATTGTGGTCTGAACGCTGCGAACCAATCTTCGCGTCGTACTGTATAGCTAACTAAAACTTCCTCGAGCTACTCACAGTCAGAGAATGCTCCAACGACAACAAAAAGACAGTTCAAGTATTGGTTTGTAGGGATTTGATTGATTGGTTACACGATTTCATCATGAGCTGACATCAGTTAGAGAACCATTGGAAAACCTGAAGGGAGTACTGGACAGTTGTTTTGTCCTAATTTGGGACTCTTCAGCAGTACGCACCCACCGGGGTTCGAACCCGGGACCTTCTGGTTACAAGGTGAGCGACCTCATAGACTATTCAGCCACTGGGACCCAATTTATTGGCCAGCCCATAAATTCTAACCTCTGCCAATTCACAACATAGCGCAACCGCTAGCCAATGTCTTCGGCGAGTATTTGTCCTCACACTCGACCTGCTGCACCCTATTTGTCACGACTTCTCACTATGTCGTAAATTGGCAGAAGTTAGAATTCATGGGCTGGCCACTGGATCGTGTCCTAATGGCTTAATGGTCTACAACCTGGCTAGTTTTGTAACCAGAAGGTCCTGGGTTCAAGCCCCGGTGGGTGCGTACTGGTGAAGAGTCCCAAACTAGACTGACGAAACAGCTGGCTGTCTAGTACTCCCAGGTGGTTTTCCAATGGTTCTCTAACCGATGTCAGCTCATGATGTAATCCTGTAACCAAAAAGATAGTTATTTGAAATCAATTCTACGGTACTATTCAACGATAATAACATATGGGAACTCAGAATTACCTCAACAATGCACTTAGGCAGCTATTCAGATACAAAACAAGCATTGTAGAACAAAATTAGTTAACCAGAATCTAACAGTAAAAAGCGTATTCCTAACAAGGTGGAATCAAACTCTGTCAACAAGAATCCTGAACAAAACAATCGTCGCAAACAGTCCGAAATCAGAATCTTGATTCATTGGAATAAAATTACAGGCATAAAATAACACTTTATCAGTATCATCATACATCCATAAAGAGAAGCATTAAAATTAGAGATTAAGCAGGGACAAAGACGAATAATAACGATAAAGTCAGTAGGTGATATACAAGTGTCAGAACAATGATGTACAATCGGGGAGAAAGAAGGAATAATAATTACAAAGTTACAGGATTTCATCATGAGCTGACATCAGTTAGAGAACCATTGGAAAACCTGCAGGCAGTACTGCACAGTCAGCTGTTTCGTCAGTTTAGTTCGGGACTCTTCAACAGTACTCAACCACCTACAGTGTTTGTACCCAGAACCTTCTGGTTACAAGGCGGGCTCGTAGACCATTAAGTCAAGCCAGATCAAAGTGATGTGAACACCACATGGCCCTTTAGAGCTGAGTTTATCAGCCAGTCAGAAATCCGGTGGTTTGATCTGATTCACACCCCTGAGTTGCCTCAAATCACGTACATGGCTAATGAATTCGACTAGAAACGAGTGAAATGGCCGTCTGATGTTTAGATCACTTCTACAATCTGGCTAGTAGACACTACTGATTGACGTGAGTATTATTATTATTGTATTATTGTTCCCTTGGATTCCTAGTGGAACATAGGGATTCAACTACACGTCTCCACTTGCTTCTGTCTTCTGCTGTACTTTTCACCTGCATACATCTTAGTCCATACTGTTTCAACTCCTCTTCACACGATCTGCTCCATGTCACCCTTGCACACATGACCCACCTACCGCTTCCCTTTCGGGTTCCACTCGAGGGCCTGACGCGCGATGTCACCCAGTGGCCTCCTCAGCTCATCAATTGCCCAATCCATCTCCACTTTCTCCTGCATATTTGTTGGGCGATTGGTTCTTGTTTGTTTGTTTGTTTCCATAGTTTCTTGTTGGTGATTCTTTCTGGCCATCTGATCTTCAGTATAGAGCCAGCGAAGACAGTTGTTGATAAAGGTCTGCAACAGGCTGTTGGAAATATTCTTTGTGACACACTGGCCAAGTTTCTGATCCGTATAGAAGAAGTGACTGACTTGACGTCGTTTGTATTGAAAATCCGAATTTTGTTGTTGATGCAGGCTGAGTGACGAAGATTTCCAGATTGGTTTCAGGTTGATGTTGAATGTGTTTCTCGCCTTCCCGAGATGTGAGTAGTATACAAACTACTTATCTCGACCAATCAATATAGTATGCATCTGTATACAATCATAATTTTGAAGCGTTTGAAGAGTTACTTACCCTCTATGACTACACTGAAAGTATCAAGAGTAATATATGATTTGATATCGTGCATGCATGAATCCGTTGACTGAAGGCTTTACGTTTTTGTCTTTGCTTGTTTTTTCTTTCTTTCACTTCTCTAAAAAAACCTTAGACAGATGGCTAGCAAAAGAAGGAGGGGAAAATATTATTCTTTCTTTTTTTGTTTTTAGTCGGGGTTGATTTTAAGTAACTCTCTCTAGTTTGAAAAAAAGGAGCATTTAATTAAACAAAATATATATATATATATATATAAATAGAATTACAAATTGAAACTTGAATTTCTCAATTCAACTTTATATGCATATCTTATTCGTTTGTATCCCATCCATACCCACCAATGATGAACTCATCGTCACCTCAGATAGTCTATAGAGGAACATACGCACACTCACACTCACACACACACAAACAAGTAGACACTTATTTATATAAGACAGACAGAGGAGGATATATGTATGAGGAGTGAGCCAGCTTTATCCAATCACTTTCAGGATGAAGACGAATACGACAAGTGTAATAAACTCACGTAGAATTAAAAAACTGAAATACAACTTACTCAAATATTCATTATCATCATTATCATCAGTATAAAGTGGTAGTTAATCCGAGAATAAAAGGAAACATTTGCACTTAAATATCAATTGTTTTTAAATAAATGAAATATCATTTTTATACTACTTATTTAAATACTCTTTTACAAGTAGTATATATTCTTTTATTTGACAAATTCCATGTTATCTTCAGTGAAGAATCAAAATCACAGATATTAGAAATACAGAGGAATAATAATAATGAAAGTATATCATCAGAATTCTATGTTGAAGAGTATCCTGATGACAGTTTACCACATTCCCCATTGAACTTTCCAGAATACACCCCTAAAGAAAAAAGTATTCGTCAACCTCGACAATCTGTAAAGCTGAATACTTTAAATAACAATATTAATAATAATAAGATAACTAACTGTCAGCTACAATTGGAATGTTCTACTGATATGAGAAATACGGATGTCAAACAAATGTCTATTATGAATTTTTCAACTAGTCATATTACTGGCCGGATACGTATCCCTGTGAGAAGTGGTAGAGGGCCAGCTGGTCCACCTGGTCCACAAGGTCCACCAGGACCACAGGGTGCAAGAGGATTTCGTGGTCCACCGGGAGAACCAGGCAGTTTACAAGGTGAGTCAGTTGTTGACTTTATAAATATGCTTGTAAGAAAAGACTAGCTAATTTAACTGAATGTATTTAAAGTGTTATTCTGGCTTGCTTTCTTGAGTTCTGAGTCAGACATAGGGCTTTCAAATGTGAAGTTTCAGGGATACTGGTGTTTGTTAGCCTGACGCCTAATCTTCTTTCCCTTGTAGGCTAACTATCGGTTAGGTTAGGCTAGGCGAGGTTTAAGAGTGAGTCCGCCGGGAATCGAACTCGGACATGAAGAGTTACTAAATATTCCTATTTTGAAGAATGTATTTAAAATAGAATTATAAGTAATTTAGCACTAATTATAGTATGAAATGTGCTCAAACGATAAAGTCATTTTCACAAACAGTTATTTTGGCCAGTTTTTAGCCTGTCCCACATACATGGATCAGTTTCTTTATAAAAAGGAGTACTTGTAGTGGATGTAATGAGTGATAAATCCTGGTAATTAATTTTCAGAATACCGTGTGTTCCTTTTAAATTTGTGAATTCGAAATATCTGAGCTTATCATTATAAGTGACCGTTAATTACGTAAGCTATCAAAGATCACTTCATACGACAATATATTCGGTTTCCAGTCAACCTATTAAGTTGATAATAGTGGACATTATTCTGTGATGAAAAAAACTTTTAAAAAATGCAGCATCAAAGAGAGCATTTCCTTTGGACTTCATTTGAAATCTGTGTCAGTTGGCGAATCGTTGAAAACTATATATCACAGAATAAATGTCACATCTTAGCAGCACAATACTCTTCAACAACACCCGCTCACTAAATCTCCGGAAATCAAGACCGGGACCTTCGGGTTGCCTGGTGATCCATCCAGCCTATGGGCTGGGGTCCGACATATCACGATTACTTATTTCTGGTAATTCACAAAATAGTACTACTGTCATCCAAAGTCATAGACGACTTCTCCTAACCACAGTTGACTTGGTAGACTTCATTAGTCACGATTTCTCCCTAGAACGTCAAGGAAACCATCTCAGAAGGAGTCAGAAATAATCAGTAAGTTAGTATTCAGGTAACTGATTTGTGCAGCCTTTGTTATTATTAAACTGTGATTACCTTAGTTAATTATCACTCTATCAAATGAGTTCATACCAATACGACTAGACAAATCGAAATATAGTACTTTGATTGTTTTTGAGACGTGGTGACGAATTAGAAAAAAGAGTGTATCGGTATTTATAGTCAGACGACATATTTACATACATTGTGGGTACATGGCAAGACAAATCAAATATAAAAGTTCACAATAACACGTACATTTCTGACACTAAATGCTTAAGAAAGTGTATTTTCTAGTATTTCTGAAATTGTGGTACATTACTAACTGAAACCGGTCCTAATTCATGTTGTTGTTTTTCACACCTTCTCAACTGGAGTCAAACATAAGGCTTCAAACTTTGAAGTTCCCGTTGCGGTAGTGTTGTTTTAAACGCGGTGGGAATGCTAGGCCCACAACCAACCTTGCCTCTGTGCCCAGCATGTTACCGGCCAACAGACTAAGCTAAGCTTAGAAGTGCGTCGTCTGGAAATCAAAGCCAGGCCATGTGCCTAATTGGCGAGCATTCTATTACGGAAGCATTAATGAGTCTTTTAATGCATAAAGAAACTATTACTCTGTGACATTTGAGGAGTTGGAGATACTTTTAACTGGTATATGTCAAAACGACACTGCTATGTTGCTTTCTGTAGAAACTAAGCGTTACTGATGTACAGTTCTTGAAGTCTGCTGATTTGATGCAACCCAACTTTTGAAGTGTTTCATTAGTTTTAATAAGCAAAGATTAGTATGAGTCTGAGATGAACAATATTTGCGCTTTATTTAATTTAATAACAGATAAGATTTTGTTCAATAATTCAAGATGACGCAGTCCCTAAATCCAGTTTTGTTTAACTATAAACAAATTTATTAAAGTTAGGTTAAGTAGGAATTTTAACTCGTTGATCCTTAAAATGACACTTTCCTAGAGTGGGTTTGATCTCTCAGTAACGTGAAACTCTAACAGTATATGATAGCAGATTATGAAGGAGTCATTTATTATTTGTATAGCTCTCTATGATTATGTATCCAGTGATATCCAGTGTAAGGTATAGTTGTTTTTAAGATTCATGAATAATCCCCATCCAGATATTATTGAGCAAATAAGACGAGTAGTTCAGTGGAGACGCTCTTTCCGACGATTTCATTTTCTTAGCTATGCAAAGGAGGAGAGTAAGAAAAGCAATGACTTGTGGCAATCATAGTTGTTAATACCAGTCAACACATAAGAGGAGATGTGTCTCGTCTAAAAGATTTCAAGGACATTATCCTGCATAGTTGGAAAAAAGGTAACAGTGGCTCTATAAAGAATGCCATAACTGAACATCATGTCAACACTCTTCATTCTCTTTCAAAAAACTCCTCCTTCAAAGTAATCTACAAAGTGAAGAACAACCTACCCAAGACAATACGCTTTCGTGTAGTACTCACTACCGAATCTCTAATCATTCAGATAGAAAAACCAGAGCTCTACATACAACAGAAGATTAGTCAGTCACTTATGCTATTGTGGTGTCGGTGGAACAGAGATAGAATGATGACCAACCACATATGTGGTCCAGAGTTCGATCCCCGACTGACTCACTCCTTTACCTCGCTAAGCCAGTAATAAAACTGGTAAAGAGGGAAGGCTGGGCATGAGAATGGCTAGCAACCCCATCCCGTAAAAATAAACACCACTGATACCGAAACTTCAAGCCTCTAACCTTAAGTTCTACGTTCCATTGGGAACGTAAAGGAATAAAAAAAATTCAAAAGACTTGTGCTAATATGGTAACTACCATAATGTTTTATACCAACTAGGTCTTTTTAAACTCCTTATAACTCTTGTGTTAGTGACTTTCAAACTCTTGCGTGATATTACACTTCCTCTGGTTTCTATATGCACCTTGATTACAGTTCATCCACAGAACTATTTACTCAAACGAAAATGCACACCAAAAGTGCCAGAGAATTCCTAGAAGCCTGGTACTCAAACGAAAATACAATTAATAAACACGTTAATATAGACGAAATATGCCGACTAATAAAAAGTAAATCAGGTGACCAGAAAGTTTAAAATCCAAGTCAATAGAAAATGGTCAATACATATGTAAAGATGGTTATCGGGAGACGCAATTATATCACTCATGAAGAAATTTAAATCATTTCACTTTATGCTAAATATTGCACTGAAGATGTTGTCCAGCAGGGGGACGACGAAAGCTTCGCAACTAAACCAACCAGCTCAGAGAACACTATTAATTGCAGAACTATTTACTTCAGTACATAACTGTAACATCCTCAAATAAATTGTAATTATATTTCAATAGTTTACCCACACTGATATCCTCTTATGTGTTGATTAATATTAATAACTATGATTATGACAGCTCATTTTTTTATTCCTCTACGTTCCCAGTGGAACATAGGGCTTCAAGCTAGAGGCTTGAAGTTTCAGTATCAGTGGTGTTCACTTTTACGGGATGGGGTTGCTAACCATTCTCATGCCCAGCCTTCTCTCTTTACCAGTCATATTACCAGCTTAGGGAGGTAAAGCAGTGCGTCGGTCAGGGAACCTCGGATCACATGCATAGTAGGCGAGTATTCTATCGCTGTGCCAACTATGCACAAATGACAACTCATTATTTTTGTTAATGTTCTCCCTTATGAAAAAGTTATGTACAAATGCGATTGTACTGCTAAAAAGAAAATGGATTTACCGAGAAGAGCTTCTCTGAGCCAGTTGTGTTTTTAAGATTCGCATAAGAATTAAAAAAACACAAATTATTAACTGCTGGATGAATTCTCTTCAACAGTGAATTTCATTCTGATCGTTTAATACTATACTAGACATGCTTTCACAACTAAGTATTTACTGTGGACTGATTTTTAAGTGTTTCTGAATAAGGCCATTATTGTTTCTAAAGCAAATTATCTGGTTTGATAACTCGTGATATATTCAAGTTTGTTGCTTAACTGAGGAATCCTCGGAAAAGATTATCCAGAAGAATACTCTTTTCTAGTGATAATGATAATGACTTTATTCCAAACAGTAATTTTGATACTATTTGGAATTTTCAGCAGGCAGTGCAATATCGCATTTAATTTTCCTCTTATACATCACAGGGGTAAGTACTAAAACAGGACATTTACCCTGATAATATTACTCAGTAAGAATACGAACATAAAATTAAAATCAATCTGTCATCAACTCGTAGAATAACAAAACTAATCCTTACAAACCAGCTATAGAAAATTAATTTGATGTTTCTCGCTAGTGACTTGCTACAGGACGGAGTTTCTTGGAATTCTAGTTAGAAGTCGTGACCAGTGAGGTTCAACCAGATGTCACGTGTGAGGAGGGATGTCCCACCAATGACATTGGTTGGGGTCGCGTTAAATCACGAATTGGCAGAAGTTAGAATTCATGGGCTGGCCACTGAATCCGGTGGGGTCCCAGTGGCTGAATGGTATACGAGCTAGCTTGTCTTGTAACTGGTAGGTCCTGGGTTAGAACCCTGGTGATGAGTGCGTACTGCCGATAATTCCTGAAAACTAGGATGAAACAGCTATCTAGTACTCCCTGCGGCTAGTTTTCAATGGTTCTCTAACTGTTATCAATCCGTGATCAACTCGTAAGAAAACAAAACTAATCCTTATAAACCAACTATAGAAAATTATTAGCAATAATATATTAGTGAAAGAGAAAATAAAAATGAACCGTTTACGTAGTGTTTCTCAGTAAATTATTAATGTCAATGCTTTTCTCATCATATAAAATGAGTGCCAAATAAAGCGCCATATAGTTCTTGTTTTTAGTTGTCCAAGCATAAAGTGTTCTATAGTTGCTTCTATTCCTATCTAATGAGATACATGCAAGGAGAGAGTTGTGTGTAGTAGGATGCTAGGGGTCTGACAAAATAATAGTTGCCAGTTTCTCGTAAGAGT